ATATCATTTTTGGTGTCATGTGAACAATAAGGCATGGCATTGTTAAGGTGGAAAAGCTGTAGAAATAAGATGATAAAGCATACTGTTGTTGATTATTAGGCTGTTAATTTAATTCTTAAGAACAAGGGAAAAATGTTTAAATCAAGAAACAGAACGAAAAAGGGAAATGTATTGGTTTCAAGAATTGTAACTGATAGGATAAGAGATTAGACACTGAAATTTGGATTAAGTGGATTAAAGAAAAAGAGAATTCTACCTCTCATTTTGTATCATGTTATGTATATTGATTATTGAGAACTGATTTGAGGGCTGAAAGTTAAACGCTTAAATTTTTTTGGCCATTGATCATGTGCGGGCCCCACATGATAAATTGCCAAGGTAATTTATGCCTACAATTCGGCCTTCAACTACCTAACTTTTGTAATGAGAAGAAATTAACTGCTTGGATTTGTTTTATTGACTAGCCATAAAAGTTTAACCTGGAATGGAAAATAATCTCCAATTCCTATCAAAGTCAATGCTATGCCTTATTTTGCTCTCATATTTGGAAACTCTACTAATATGGTAGAAATTCCCTGTTGACTACAGAGAATATTGCATAATATAGTTGATAAGTTTGTTGAGAAGGCAAAGCCCTTCCTGATGGCATATAAAGGAATTCAAAGTCAAGAAGAATGGGAGGTATATGCTGTTGCTTTTGAAATATGGTTAATAGATTTTATCATCGAAGTTGATTTTTTTGTATTCCTATCATTTTGAACAGTGTTTGGTGTGTCTTTTCTTGAATATCCATCTTTTGCTGCAAATATGCAAGAGTTTAAATGCTCCGGTTATGCTAGTTATTCCGGCAAAGATAAGAAAAAGAAAAAGAAAAAGAAAACTGCGGGCTTCATGTATCTTGTGAGACAGAGCTCTTGTACTGCTGGCTAATGCACAGGGTAAAAGAAATTAATTTTATAAAAAACAAAAAATAAATAAAATAAAAAAACCAATGGGAAAAGCTGTATCAAAAACCTGTAAAGATATGCACAGAATGCTATTGAAATAATTGGAATATTATGAGTTGTGTAAAATTAGGAAGATTATTTTATTTTATTAAAATCTCAATTTTTGTTAGCTGAATTAATGGCATGATTCTTCTATTGTGCCCTTTCTACTTATGAAATCTTGCCTCGTACTGGTGAGACTTCTCAGTGTGGCTGTCAGCACTTTATTTAATTACATGATACAATACACATCCTATTAACAGTGTAATGAGCAAGGAACCGATGTGTCTAATCAGTTTGAACTACAATTGAATACATTAATGAGTTAAACATTTATGCTGAACCATTTTAGAATTGGTATTATGGATTTTTTTTTTCCAATAATGATTTTAGTAATATCGCTTGGATTTAGAAGTTGTTTGGTGTTTGCTATTGGTTTTCAGGAAGCTGTCAAAGAAGCGAGTGAGAGGGTCCTGTTATGGGAAAAGGTTATTGATCAGCACTGTCGACCTGATAGGATTACAGCAAAGAAACAACAAGAGGAGCTAGAAAAAATTGCCAAAAACATTCCTAATAGTACGCCTGCTTCTGTGAAGCAATCTGCCAATCGTTCAGTTCTTTCCCTGCAAGTTAGTAATCACTCTCATCCTTCTTTCCTGTCTCGATCTTGAAGTTGTTTTGTATACTGGTTAAATCATGATGATCTACATGAAATGTTTACTATCTGCTGTTAACATTACAATGCAGAGCAACCCTGGTTGGGGATTTGACAAGAAATTCCAATTCATGGATAAGCTTGCACGGGAGGTCCCTCAAACAATACAGTTGAAGTTGGAAGGCTTTTTTTTTATGATGATGTCGCGATTACTGAGATCCATCTTTATCTGGAATTGATATATGTTGATTCAATCTTCATTGGAAAAATAATCTGATATGCAAAATATTTTTCAAAAAATTTTGGAGCTATGTGCTATATAATTGACTGTTGGAAATGAGTTGATTCAAAAATAATCCATTTTAATTTTTTAATTTGTCGTCACATTTTTTAATTAATAATTATTTAATAAATTTTAATTTTGTTTTTTTTAAATAATATTAA